GCCCACACTTGCTCAGACACCATCCCCGGGGCAAAAGGACCGAGAACTGACCTTCGTCGTGATGGGTCTAGCAGTGACTGCGTTGATCGTAAAGCAATTAAACTAGGTCCCCATATGAGTACACATGTTCAGGAACCGTAATAACACCTCCCGGCGATGTTTACTTAATTAACTGGCCAACTGGGTTGTTGTTTTAATTAGACATTAAAAGCTCCCGACTGAAGATGCTGTACCTTTACACTTTGATTGACACCACAATACAAAGGCGTGGATGACAAGTGAGCTGTTTTGTGATTGGTTAATGTACTTTGACAGACAGATGCGGTCAGTGGACTTAAAGTGATTTTGCTTGGGTCTTGATTCAGTAGTCCGGACTATTCGCAATCCGGACGAATTTACTGAGAAACGCAACCGTCCGGATTAACGAGGCTTCACTGTATACCAAAGATGAGACCTGCCCCGTACCGTTGCCAGTACATACTTATGGGGAAGACCGAGACCTGCGGTAGGAGATGTAGGACTGAGGGGTACTGCTGTTTTCACAGGAGGTGTTTGGCGAACTACACGTGTTCCGTGTGCGGTATTGGAGTGAAATGCCATTACTGTTTATGTAAAGCCCACGGGGCAAACGTAGTCAGGCACCAGCTTATCTACGAAAAGAAAAAGGACTACATAAACGAATGTAGTCGCCTCCTTAGTATGGAGGTGTAGCTCTCATTATTTTTTACTTAGAGCTGGAGGAGTTACCTCCCTTCCCTAGCCAGTGACCCAAATAGAGACTGTGTACACCTAGGTATAATAATGCCTGCTATTCAATTCATTCGAATTCCACCCCCGGCTTTTGACCTGAGAAGCTGGTTGATGTTTCCGGGTAAATGTAGTATTGATGACATCAGACCTCTGGTCATTAGCAAACTCGAAGAGGAAATAAACGAATTGGGGCACATCAACTTTAAAATGATTGTTACTACAAAGCTGGATGTCTTCAGAGAACAAGTATTGACTGAATCAGCTAATACATATACGTGTATCCCCAACGTTGTGGAAATAATAAAATGGGAAAGCTATCCTGAACCCAGAATCGATACGGTTTAGAGATTGTATACACCTGGGTATAACAATGCCTACTGTCCGAGAGCTCAAGCAGATTGCAAGAGAACGAGGTGTAGTGGGTTACTCCCGAATGAGGAGACCCCAATTGTTTAGATTACTCGACATACAACCCCCTCCCACGGTGAAACAACTCAAACTCCAAACCAGAGAGCTGGGGTTGACTTGTTATTCCCGTATGAAGAAAGCCGGGCTAGTCGCACTTTTGCACGACCCCGTACATCCCCACACTGTGAAACAAATCAAACGGGAAGCCCGAGAGCTGGGGTTAGTAGGTTATTCCCGTATGAGGAAGCCTGAGCTCGTTGAACTGTTACATCAGCACAGAGTTGTTGATCTAGATTTCGTGCGCACTGAATGCACTGTAGGTAACTATCTGAGAGGCTGGCGCATGCATGTGGATAAGAACATAGACATCGGCGACGTCAAGCCGCTGATCGCTGACAAAGTTAATGAGGAACTGAACGATTTGGGAAGTCTAAAGTTTCAAATAACGGTGAAGATGTCGCTTGATAAACAGCAGAATGGTGCAGTTGAGTACGTTCAGCCTTACTTCCGGGGTAAACAAGAAGTCGTGACTATAGACGAGTCCATCGATGCCAGTCTTCAACAAATACGGGAATATTTGGAACGCTTCACACACAGGGGTTCCGGGTGGGCTGTGGATAAAATCGATAAACTATATCTAGACATAGCTAACTACGTACCGTTCAGAGGCGGATCGTACCTAGACTTGCCCCCCTACTACAAGAAAAAACACGCCATGGTCAACATCAAAAACAGAGGGGTGGATTGCATGAGGTTAGCGATCAGATCAGCCTTGTTTCCGATCGACGTTAATTCAAACAGACCTACGAGCTATCCCCAAGACGACGGGCTCAACTGGGACGGTATAGACGAACCCACCCTCATATCCCAGGTCACCAAAATCGAGAAACAGAATGATATAGCCGTCAACGTCTTTGGGCACGAAGGCAACAAAACGATCGTGCACAGGATCAGCCCAATGGAGGGTCGCCGTGTGATCAATATATTCATGATCCAGGGAGGTGACAAGTACCACTACGCGTAGATAAAACACTTCAGCAGGCTGTTGTACGACCAATCGGCACACCGAGAAAAGAGTCACTTCTGCGAACGGTGCCTGCACGGCTTCACTCGACCCGACCTGCTGGAATCACACCGGGAGGATTGCCTAGGTGTGGGGCAGACGCCAAACGAATCGACATGCCCAAGGAAGGCTTAATAAATATCCTAAAAATTCGACAACCACAAGAACCAGATGTCCGTACCTTACATCATCTACGCTGACTTCGAAGCCCTCGTCAAACCCGTTGACATCGGCCCCGCTTCCAACACATACAGCATGAGGCTTGTGAGTTCGGATACGTGGCCGTCTGATGTGATGGGGAAACAAACGCTCCCGTGGTGAACAGGGGTCCCGACGCGGAAGAAAAGTTTCTTGAGTGCTTGCAGCACGAAGAGAAAACCATCAGGAAGAGGTTGTACACCGTCGTTCCTATGCGTATGACCCAAGCCAACCGGCGAGCCCACAGCTGCAGAACTCACTGCTACGTGTGCGACGGCCCGCTGAACGGCGATTCGGTGAGAGATCACTGTCACATCACCGGGGAGTACAGAGGTGCCGCTCACAGCGCGTGCAACCTCAAGCTCAGAATCACCCCCAAAACAATCAACTTCCCCGTGGTCTTCCACAACTTGAGAGGGTACGACTCTCACTTGATCATGCAGCCCATCGCGAAAGTCGACGGCAACCTGACGTGCATCCCCAACAACATGGAGAGATACATCTCCTTCAGTCTGAACGGCCTGAGGTTCATAGACTCAGTTCAGTTCCTACTGTCGTCTCTCGATAGTTTGTTCAAAGCCAACGATACCTTCCCCATCACTGATCGAAACACCGACACCGAGACTCGGCCCCTGCTGATGGGGAAGTGTGTTTACCCCTACGAGTACATGGATGGCTGGGCCATGTTCGCCGAGACACGACTACCACCCATCGACCGATTTTACAGCAACTTGACCGACTCGACCATCACCCAGGATGATTACGGCCACGCCCAGAATGTGTGGGAGAAACTGGGCTGCAGGAACCTGGGTGATTACCACGACCTGTACTTGAGAACGGACGTACTCTTGCTGGCTGACGTGTTCGAGACGTTCAGAAAGACGTGTTTCAAGCAGTATCAACTCGACCCCGCGTGGTACTACACCAGCCCCGGTCTTTCTTGGGAAGCCTTGCTGAAGAAAACCGGAGTTAAGCTGGAACTCCTCACCGATTACAACGAGAAAGGATTGCGAGGTGGGATTTCCATGGCTGCCAAATGGTACGCAAGAGCCAACAAAAAGTACGTGAAGGGCTACGATGCTAGCAAACCCATTAATCATCTCCTCTATCTGGATGCCAACAACCTGTGCGGTTGGGCCATGAGCCAGTATTTACCCACCGGGGGGTTCGAGTGGGTGCCTGAGATAGACGTCATGAGCATACCGCCAGATTCAGGGGTAGGTTACATACTCGAAGTTGACTTGGAGTACCCACCAGCATTACATAAGTCACACAACAGCTACCCCCTGGACCCAGAACGTTTGATGGTGAACCCGGACTGGATGTCCGACTACCAACGGAGGGTGGGGGGTAATAAGCTAGCCAACGTCAAAAAACTCGTACCCAACTTGATGAACAAGACCAAGTACATCGTTCACTATCGTAACCTGCAGCTGTACCTGTCGCTGGGTATGAGGCTGACTAAAACCCATAGGGTGCTCAAATTCGACCAAAGACCTTGGATGGAGCCCTACATCAGAATGAACAGAGACCTGCGAAAGATGGCCACCAGTGACTTCGAGAAGAACCTCTACAAGCTCATGAACAACTCAGTGTTCGGTAAGACGATGGAGAATTTACGAAAACGCTTGACCGTGAAGCTGGTCCGGTCTAAAGAGGAAGACAAGCTCAGGAGACTGATAGCCAGCCCGTCATTCAACTGGAGCAAGATATTCACCGACGATCTGGTGGCCCTACACATGAGAAAGAGCCACATCAAGTTTAACCAGCCCGTCTACGTTGGGATGAGCATCCTCGACCTCTCCAAGCACCTGATGTACGACTTCTACTACAACAAGCTCAAGAAGCAGTACGGCGACAGTTGGGAAGTGCTGTACACTGACACGGATTCCCTGCTGATGGAGATTCTTGACCACCCCAAGGACCATGCCATGCACAACACGGTTAACAAAAAGGTCCTCGGTAAGATGAAGGACGAGTGTACTGGCACGCCGATCGCCAAGTATATAGGCTTGAGGCCCAAGATGTACTCCATCCTGAAAGCTGACAATAACGAGATCCGAAAGGCGAAGGGCGTCAAGAAGTACGTGGTGAAACAACACATCAAACACGCCAGATTCAAGGAAGCCCTGTTCAAGACCCACACCTTCAGGCATCAGATGAACACGCTGAGAAGCGATGGACACAAGATATACGAACTGACGATAAACAAGACGTCCCTATCACCGATGGACACGAAGCGTTGGATAGCCATCGACGGGACCAACACGTACGCGTACGGGCATGAGTAAAATGAAAAGTGGTAAAGGACATATCTGTAAAGTTATGTACAAATATGTCCGCCCAATGGCCCTCTGGACCACGTACTTTGACCACGAAGTCATTTGTTTTTTGTTTAACGCCGCACTCAGCAATATTCTAGCTATTTGGCGCGCGGCGGTCTTTAAATAATCGAGAACAACGTAGTCATCCCCCATAATCCGTGTGATTTTGATGCATGTACGTGATTGTAGGCTAATTTGTAGCTCTTCCACTTGGAAATACTTTGCTATGTTATTTTTAGTTTTCGTGCTTTTCATACCTTTGAAAACGTTTGAAATTATTTCTTCCACTTCCTTGCGCTCTTCATCATCAAAAGCAGAGTTTGGGAGAGTGTCCTCTTCACAGCTGTTTTGCCGTTTACACCCCCTGGATCCTGTTCCGTCGGGTAATCGAGACTGGCCATTTTCTGGCGTTGACGTTTTACATTTTTCTAAAACAAACGAAATGTGAAATCTTTAAATAAGAACACTGGTTTAATATTTTTTAAAAGTATCTTAGGTTAATAATCTGCAATTCACATATTTAAAATACACTTGTAACTGTAGATTACACGAAAGGGGATTGGTGGATCTTGGTTTGTGTTCGTATTTCACGCCATGCAGAGTCTACTCTCAAATTCCTATGACAATATTGTAACAATCTGCAGTAACCTTATCGTAAAATGGTCACATACAAAATGACAAGTGTAGGCACAGAATAAGATTAAAACACGCGTAATGACAAATAGAATATTGTAAATGACGAGAACAATTCACAATACAATTATTTACCCTTAAAAGCAGCAACCCATTCGTCAGATGAGCTCGAAGTAAAATCATATTGTTTCGAGGTTAGACATTGAATTTGTCCTTCTTCTGACTCATAGTTATATGACGACTCAGAAGTCTCCCTCGTAGACGAAGAAGACATTGTTGTACGCCTTACAAGTGTCCTTTTTACATTGAAGTTTGCTGGAAGTGCTTGTTCATGTTTTACATAATATGCAGTGTCTTTTCAGCCTCAGAATCCAATCTTTCATCGACATCCTTTCACATACCATCTTATTTGACAAGTCCTTCACGAAATATGTCCTTGGTCCTTTCTTGTCATAAAACACAATTCCTTCAACATAGCCAACAGCTACTTGTAGAATGTATCGGTTTGTTGGTGAAACTGGGTGAAGCTTCAGTTTGACTAAATCTTGAGGTATTTCTGTAGTGAACCGACCACTAGCATAAAGCAGAGACGTATTTTGTGTTATTTTATCTGTCAGTTTTTTATAAAATGTTTCTTTGTCTATACCGATTTCAAAAACGTCCTTCGAAATATGTTTGAGATGGTATCCTTCAGCATCAACGATGTCGAATCCAACTCCAGTCAAGACCTTAGATCCTGTCTCTTCTATGGTACTTTCGGCTATTCCTACAAAAATAGAACCGCCTCCAAAATATTTTGAAAACGATGTAATATTGTCCTTTAGTTTTAGACCCGACCAAATGTAGTCAAAGACGCTGTCTTCATCACGTTCTAGTTGTAAAATCTTTTTTTGTTGAGGTTTAAATGCTTTATGTTCCACATGTCTTGACTCGTGAAATGTTTCTGTATCACCAGGCAGTTCCAATAACTTTGCTTTAGAATACCTTTCGCCGTCTTTATTTGACAAAAGAGAAACGATGTTCACTGTTGATGGATGTTCGTTTTCAATGTCATTCCGAACTTTCGTGTTAAAGTCCACTGTCGATATGGATTCAGTTTTACCTACTCTCAGGAGCACAAAGTCAGCATGGTCTTTGTAAACTTTAGAAGCGCTTAGCCATTCCCTCGTAAACACGTTCACGAACAATGAGCCATCTTCGATCAGCGCCGTTAATCCTTTGCTAATAAATTCATCAAAATATTCTAAGCATCTGTCACTTCTGTCTTGACCTTCAAGGTGAACAAGAATAGACCCCCCTTTACTGTTTCTCAGAGCAGCTGCGCGTGTCTTTATCAGATCGAGCACCTTACTTTTAGTCGGACTATTCTTTGCCTTGTGTTTCACCACTGAACGATTTGTATGTATTAAGAATATATTTGCATCGGACGATCTTTTGCAGTATTCCTTAGACACCCTTTCACAGTTCGCACATGCGTCTTCTTGGGTCACACCCTCACTGTCCACGGAGGTGGCAGTACATCGTCCTTGACAAAAATAGATACAAAGCGTATGAAAGGTTTGTTCGTTAAATAATGTTTTCATGTAAACAGTGATTATATATTATGCAATATTCATCGACACTTAATTCATTAAATATACAAATTTATTACTACATGATTTTCACTGGACGAGGTGAGATTATCAATGCTTTAGGGGAGTGTGACAAAAATAAAATTGAAAAGTTATCCGAGGTACAATGAGAGAACAGTTTCTGAATTGCTACATACTGACGAATGCTTACTTAGGGTCACACTTGCTCATCCTTTGGGGAACGCCTTGCACCATCAGTATTTAAAAGTGATTCACATTATGCGTTCAGTATCGTTGGAATCGTAAATTAACATTTATCACAGTTTTTTTTATCATTGTCATTTGTCGTGAATTATGTCTTTGTTCCTTACCTTCACAAAGATCTGAGGCCATACGCAGTTCATCTCCGTTCGGAAATGTTCACACTGAAAGATAAACGTATACGATCAAGGGTCTGAAATTAGAAGAAAAACACATCGCAGCTAAGTGTGGCCTGAATCCCAGATGAAATAAGGGTTGCCTGAATCCCAGATGAAATAAGTAAGTGTTGCCTGAAATCCAGATGAAATACGTAGGTGTTGCCTGAATCCAGATGAAATTTAAGAAAGTGTTGCCTGAATCCTAGATGAAATAAGTAAGTGTTGCCTGAATCCCAGATAAAATCAGTTAGTGCTGCCTGGATCCCAGATGAAATAAGTAAGTGTTGCTGGTCCCAGATGGAATAGGTAAGTGGTGCCTGAATCCAAGATGAAACAGGTGTTGCCTGAATCCCAGATGAAGTGAGTAAGTGTTGCCTTGGTTCCAGAAGAAAAAAGAGTTGCCTTAATCCCAGATGAAATACGTAAATGTTGCCTGAATCTCAGATGAAAACAAGAGTTGCCTGAAATCCAGATGAAGTACACAAGTGTTGCCTGAACCCAGATGAAGTTAAAGCAAGTGTTGCCTGAATCCTAGATAAAATAAGTAAGTGTTGTCAGAATCCCAGATGCAATAAATAAGTGTTGCCTGAGTTACCAAGATGATCAAATGTGTTGCCTGAATCCCAGATAAAACTGAATTCCAGATGAAATAGGTAAGCGTTCCCTGGATCCTAGATGAAGTCAGTGTTGACTGAATCGCAAATAAAGTGAGCAAGTGTTGCCTGAAATCAAGATGAAATAAGTAATTGTTGCCTGAATCTCAGATGAAAAAAAGAGTTCCCAGAAATCCAAACGAAATATGTAAGTGTTGCCTGAACCAAGATGAAATTTAAGTAAGGGTTGCCTGAATCCCAGATAAAATAAGTAAGTGTTGCCCGCATCCCACATGAAATAAGTAAGTGTTGCCTGAATCCCAGATGAAATAAGTAAGTGTTGCCTGAATCCCAGATGAAATATGCAAGTGTTGCCTGAACTCCAGATGAAAGAGGTAAGTGTTACCTGAATTCCAGATGAAATAGGTAAGTGTTGTCTGGATCCCAGTTGAAATAAATAAGTGTTGTCTGAATCTCAGATGGAATAAATAGGTGTTGCTTGAATCCCAGATAAAAATAATGTTGCCTGAATCCCACATGAAAAAAATATGTGTTGCCTGAATCCCAAATGAAGTGAGTAAGTTTTGCCTGAATCCCAGATGAAATAAAAGTGGTCCCTGAAATCCAGATAAAATAAGTAATTGTTTCCTGAATCCTAGATGAAATAGGTAAGTGTTGCCTGAATCCCAGGTATAATAAGTAAGTGTTGCCAGCGGAATCCCAGATAAAATAAGTAAGTGTTGCCTGAATGCCTGATGGAATAGGTAAGTGTTCCCTGAATCCCAGATGAAATAGGTGTTGCCTGAATCCCAGATGAAATAAGTAAGTGTTGTCTGAATCCTAAATGATATGGGTAATTGTTGCATGAATCCGAGATGAAAAAAAGTGTTGCAAGAATCCCAGATGGAATATGGTTTGCCTGAATCCCAGATGAAATTAGTGTTGCCTGAAATCAGATTAAATATGTGTTGCCTGAATCCCAGATCAAATTAGTGTTGCCTGATTCCAGATGAAATAAGTAGGTGTTACCTGGATCCCAGATGAAGTAAATAAGTGTTGCCTAAATCCCATATAAGAAACATAAGTGTTGCCCGAATCTCAAATGAAGTGAGTAGTCTTGCCTGAATCCAAGAAAAATAGGTGTTCCGTGAATCTCAGATGAAATAGGTAAGTGTTGCCTGAAATCCCAGATGAAGTCAGTGTTGACTGAATCCCAGATGAAATAGGTAAGTGCTGCCTGAATCCCAGATGAAATAGGTAAGTATGGCCTGAAGCCCAGATGAACAAAAGTCTTGCCTGAATCTCAGATAAAATATGTCTTGCCTAAATCCCAGAGAAATAGGTATGTGTTGTCTGAATCCCTGATAAAATAAGTGTTGCCTGAATCCTAGATGAAATAAGTAAGTGTTGCCTGAATCCTAAATGAAATAAGTAAGTGCTTGCCTGAATCCCCAGATAATATTAGTAAGTGCTGCCTGGATCGCAGATGAAAAAGTAAGTGTTGCCTAAATTCAAGATGGAATAAGTAAGTGTTGCCTGAATCCCAGATGAAATAAGTAATTTTTGCCTGATATCAGATGAAATAAGTTAGTGTTTCCTGAATCCAAGATGGAATATGTAAGGGCTGCCTGAAATCCCATATGAAAAGAGGTAAGTGTTGCCTGGATCCCAGATGAAATAAGTAAGTGCCTGAATCCTAAAATGAAATAAGTAAGTGTTGCCTGAATCCCAGATAATATTAGTAAGTGCTGCCTGGATCGCAGATGAAAAAAGTAAGTGTTGCCTAAATTCAAGATGGAAGAAGTAAGTGTTGCCTGAATCCCAGATGAAATAAGTAATTTTTTGCCAGCCTGGATATCAGATGAAATAAGTTAGTGTTTCCTGAATCCAAGATGGAATATGTAAGTGCTGCCTGAAATCCCATATGAAAGAGGTAAGTGTTGCCTGGATCCCAGATGAAATACGTAAGTGTTGCCTGAATCCCAATTGGGAATGTGTAAGTGTTGCCAGAAATCCAGATGAAATAGGTAAGTGTTGCCTGGATTCCAGATGAAATAAGTAAGTGTTATCTGGATCCCAGATGAAATAAGTAAGTGTTGCCTGAATCCCAGATGGAATAAATAGGTGTTCCTTGAATCCCAGATAAAATTAATGTTGCCTGAATCCCAGATGAAATAGGTAAGTGATGCCTGAAATCTCAGATGAAGTCAGTGTTGACTGAATCCCAGATGAAATAGGTAAGTGCTGCCTGAATCCCAGATGAAATAGGTAAGTGTGGCCTGAAGCCCAAATAAGTCTAGCCTGAATTCCAGATGAAATAGGTAAGCGTTGCTTGGATCCCAGATGGAAAAAGTAAGTGTTGCATGAATCCCAAATAAAGTGAGCAAGTGTTGCTTGAAATCAAGATGAAATAAGTAATTGTTGCCTGAATCTCAGATGAAACAAAGAGTTCCCTGAAATCCAAATGAAATATGTAAGTGTTGCCTGAACCAAGATGAAAGTTAAGTAAGTGTTGTCTGAATCCTAGATGAAATAATTAAGTGTTGCCTGAATCCCAGATAAAATAAGTATGTACTGCCTGGATCGCATACGAAATAAGTAAGTGTTGCCTTAATTCCGGATGAAATAAATAAGTGTTGCCTGAATCCCATAAGAAATAGGTGTTGCCCGCATCCCACATGAAATAAGTAAGTGTTGCCTGAATCCCAGATGAAATAAGTAAGTGTTGCCTGAATCCCAGATGAAATATGCAAGTGTTGCCTGAACTCCAGATGAAAGAGGTAAGTGTTACCTGAATTCCAGATGAAATAGGTAAGTGTTGTCTGGATCCCAGTTGAAATAAATAAGTGTTGTCTGAATCTCAGATGGAATAAATAGGTGTTGCTTGAATCCCAGATAAAAATAATGTTGCCTGAATCCCACATGAAAAAATATGTGTTGCCTGAATCCCAAATGAAGTGAGTAAGTTTTGCCTGAATCCCAGATGAAATAAAAGTGGTCCCTGAAATCCAGATAAAATAAGTAATTGTTTCCTGAATCCTAGATGAAATAGGTAAGTGTTGCCTGAATCCCAGGTATAATAAGTAAGTGTTGCCAGCGGAATCCCAGATAAAATAAGTAAGTGTTGCCTGAATGCCTGATGGAATAGGTAAGTGTTCCCTGAATCCCAGATGAAATAGGTGTTGCCTGAATCCCAGATGAAATAAGTAAGTGTTGTCTGAATCCTAAATGATATGGGTAATTGTTGCATGAATCCGAGATGAAAAAAAGTGTTGCAAGAATCCCAGATGGAATATGGTTTGCCTGAATCCCAGATGAAATTAGTGTTGCCTGAAATCCAGATTAAATATGTGTTGCCTGAATCCCAGATCAAATTAGTGTTGCCTGGATTCCAGATGAAATAAGTAGGTGTTACCTGGATCCCAGATGAAGTAAATAAGTGTTGCCTAAATCCCATATAAGAAACATAAGTGTTGCCCGAATCTCAAATGAAGTGAGTAGTCTTGCCTGAATCCAAGAAAAATAGGTGTTCCGTGAATCTCAGATGAAATAGGTAAGTGTTGCCTGAAATCCCAGATGAAGTCAGTGTTGACTGAATCCCAGATGAAATAGGTAAGTGCTGCCTGAATCCCAGATGAAATAGGTAAGTATGGCCTGAAGCCCAGATGAACAAAAGTCTTGCCTGAATCTCAGATAAAATATGTCTTGCCTAAATCCCAGAGAAATAGGTATGTGTTGTCTGAATCCCTGATAAAATAAGTGTTGCCTGAATCCTAGATGAAATAAGTAAGTGTTGCCTGAATCCTAAATGAAATAAGTAAGTGTTGCCTGAATCCCAGATAATATTAGTAAGTGCTGCCTGGATCGCAGATGAAAAAAGTAAGTGTTGCCTAAATTCAAGATGGAATAAGTAAGTGTTGCCTGAATCCCAGATGAAATAAGTAATTTTTTGCCTGGATATCAGATGAAATAAGTTAGTGTTTCCTGAATCCAAGATGGAATATGTAAGGGCTGCCTGAAATCCCATATGAAAGAGGTAAGTGTTGCCTGGATCCCAGATGAAATAAGTAAGTGTTGCCTGAATCCTAAATGAAATAAGTAAGTGTTGCCTGAATCCCAGATAATATTAGTAAGTGCTGCCTGGATCGCAGATGAAAAAAGTAAGTGTTGCCTAAATTCAAGATGGAAGAAGTAAGTGTTGCCTGAATCCCAGATGAAATAAGTAATTTTTTGCCTGGATATCAGATGAAATAAGTTAGTGTTTCCTGAATCCAAGATGGAATATGTAAGTGCTGCCTGAAATCCCATATGAAAGAGGTAAGTGTTGCCTGGATCCCAGATGAAATACGTAAGTGTTGCCTGAATCCCAATTGGAATGTGTAAAGTGCTTGCCAGAAATCCAGATGAAATAGG